GGCCAGCTGTAATTCACTGAGATGTTCTTTAAAGTTCATTTCCACAAAAAAGCTACACTCCTCACATATGATCATAAACAGTTGATCATATGTCTTATTGACCCTCCTCAGTTGGTTGTTCTTGTTATGATCTGCATTCTGACATGATTGTTTCTTTGGCAGATGTTAGTGCCCCCCCCAGTGGCCCCCGGAAGAGTGAAAGCCCTTTCTTCCTGATGGGGAAGGTGGTCATGCAGCAGAGCTATGTCTGTGCTCTTATAGCCATGATGGTAAATATTCAACATGATTTTATACTTTTATACATTTACGTAAGAGTAAATATCACTCAATGAACACATAAGGTTCTACCAGATTTTGTGAGCCTATAACAATATGGATGTCACATATTGTCAATAATGAGTTGTGTCCATGCTGTGCAGGTGTGGAGCATCACGTACCACAGCTGGCTGACCTTCGTGCTGCTGCTGTGGGCCTGCCTCATCTGGATGCTGCGCGCCAGGTGACTATTCAAGACTTAGATGAACAACTTGATTATCTTTAAACGTTATAATAACTGTTGAAGCGACTGAGAGGCTGACGTCACGCCTGGTTGCCTCTGTCTGACGCAGGATCAAAAACTAATGCTGAGATCCAGAAATCCAGAAATGCAATAAAATCTTAATTTAATTCAAAATGATCAACTTGTTGTAACTCGCACAATCAAATATGTTCGCAATAATCCAGCTCTGAAAGGGTTGCAGTCAACCAAAAGCACAGCAATCCTCTCACCGTCTCTTACACACAAACCTAAACACAGTGTAAACCCTTCTTTATGTTTCTTTTGTTATTGTTGCCCCATTGTTTTTGTCATGTTTTGCTTCTTTTATTGGGTCCAGGAATTCTGTTATGCATTGTTTGGCGTCCTGTCCTGAAAGGCGCCACAAAATAAAATGTATTATTTATTATTATTATTAACAGATATTATAAACTAAACAATGCATATCTTAAATTGTATAGTTTTCTAGTTGTGTAGATTTCACCGGCTGCATTGTGACTGAGCCCCCTCTCACATGTTGTATTCACTGAGCTGTGTGTCTGCAGGCGCCATGCGGCCACCCTCTGCTCCCCCTTCATCCTGCTGTACGGCCTGGCTCTGTGCTGCCTGCAGTACGTCTGGGCCATGGAGCTGCAGCCGGAGCTGCCCACCACCGTGGGCACCATGAGCCTCCGCCAGCTGGGGCTGGACCGAGACCAGTACCCCTGTCTGAGGCTGGGAGCCATGGTAAGAGGAGAGGAGGGATTGGTCACTGACTTGATGGTGATGAAGTATAAGGTTGTGACTTTTTATGAGATTATGTATGATATTTGTATCACTGACTGACAGTAAAGTACGGAGGCCGACAGGTGCAAACATGCTACAACAGCACAAAATACTCCAATCGGGAGAAATGCGCTGCAGCTGCAAAACCATGCAAATATAAAAATACATATGTACTGAAACACATGGAAATAAAGAAATATCTTCACCAACTTGACACATGCGCAGCGTTAAAATAAAGCGCTGCATGAACAAAACATTTTTTTCTCATGAAGCATTTCATTTATGCAGCGCTTTAATTAAACGTTGCACATTTGTTGTAAAGTTGGTGAAGATGTTTCTTCATGTTCATGTCTGTTGGTACAATTGTGTTTTTATATATGCACAGTTTTTGAAGTGTTTCTCCGAATGTAAGTGCTTTGGGCCGTTGCAGCGTGTTTTCCCTGTGGGCCACTTAGTGAAGGGCTCCTCTCTCCACACAGCCCTGGATCAGGAGCTCAGTTACAGCATGTGTCTTGTTGACAAAATATCACAAGTTCAATCCCCGGCTGTGCCAAATAACATTCAGTATCAGATTGCATATAGTATCACAACCTGGCCCCCACCTACCTGGCTGACCCCCTCTCGCTCCCTCCGCTCATCCTCTGCTGGTCTACTATCCGTCCCCACCCCACGCCTCGTCACCATGGGTGCTGGGGCTTTTAGCTGCATTGCTCCC